TGCCCTCACATACTGCCATCCTCTGTCCCCAGAGAGCTGCGAGGGGGTGGTGTGCGGCCCCGACAAGGTGTGCAAGATGAAGCACGGGCGGCCCCAGTGYGCCTGTGCCCCCGACTGCTCCAGCCTGCCCCGCAAGCTGCAGGTCTGCGGCTCGGACGGCTACACCTACCGGGACGAGTGTGACCTGCTGACMGCCAAGTGCAGAGACCACCCCGACCTTGAAGTGATGTACCAGGGAAAATGTAAAAGTACGTGCAGTGCCCTCCCCATCTTGTTCCTGTGCTGTCCCCACACCCTGTGGGGGAAGGAGTGAGTCTGTCCCACCACAGGGCCCTGCAGGATGTGGGTGTCAGTGCCYTTTGAGGGGACATTGGTGCCATTTTGGGGGGCTGAGCAGTAACAGGCCTTAAAATGTCATTTACAAACGTCAAGCCCCTTTTTTTCCTCTTTTGTAAAGAGCGCAGCGATCCTCCCGGCCCTGCCAAGAGCTGTCAGAAGGATTATAGTTATTTTTCCAGCCCTCCTTTCTGGAAGGCTTTGCCTGTCGAGCTCTGGGCTGCGCAGGGAAACGTGSGGCAAGAAATGGGAGCTGGGAGAGCTGCAGATGCCAAATCTTCCARTGCAGCAGGGAAAAAGAGGAGGGTGGAGGGATTACGGGGGTGCAGGAGCCTCCACCCGCCCCGGCAGAGCCCCGTGCAGGGCTTGATCCTGATTCCCCCGCCCCCGTGCGCCCTCGCTCCGCTGCTGGGTCGGGTCCAGGGTGACCCTGCCCTTCCCTCTTGGGGCCAGCGCGGCTGCTGCCAGCCTGGCCGTGGTGGCCACTGCTTCCCTGCCAAGGCACCTGCGTGCGGCCGCTGGCCCAGGCGGGTCCCGCTGCGCCGAGCAGGGTCAGCCCCCGCAGCTGGACCTCAGCTCCTCCCGCCCAGCAAAGCTCCAACCGGGGCCAAGAGCGAGGGCTCGGGGTCACGAGTGTCCTTGTGCTGAGGACACCGGACCCTGACAGCCCCTGGCCTTGGGAGCGTCACTGATGGGGAAAATCAGGGCTCTCTGGCCCTTGYTCTGCTCTATCCCCCAAAAGCAAAAGGTGGGAGGGGAGCAGGTTTGCCTGGGGTGATGCCCAAAGCCTGTGTGGGGTCAAGGAGCTGTGGGATGGGAGTGGTGGCCATCACTGGGGTCACCCCAACCCTGTGGGGGGTCAAGGAGTTGTAGGACAGGGGGTGGTCATTACTGGGGTCACCCCAACCCTGTGGGAGGTCAAGGAGCTGGGGGATGGGGTGTGGGGGTGACTCTCACCAGGGTCATCCCAATCATTTGTGGGGTCAAGGAGCTGTGGGATGGAGGGGTAGCCATCACTGGGGTCACCCCAACCCTGTGCGGGGTCAAGGAGTTGTGCAACGGGGGGATGGCCATCACCAGGGTCACCCCAACCCTGTGGGGGGTCAAGGAGTTGTAGGACAGGGAGTGGTCATTACTGGGGTCACCCCAACCCTGTGGGAGGTCAAGGAGCTGGGGGATGGGGATGGTGACTCTCACCAGGGTCATCCCAATCATTTGCGGGGTCAAGGAGTTGTGGGATGGGGGTGACCATCACAGGGGTCACCCCAATCCTGTGCGGGGTCAAGGAGTGTAGGACAGGGGTGCCCATCACCGGGGTCACCCCAAACCCTGTGCTCCCCTGCAGAGTCCTGCTCCAGCGTGGTGTGTCCTGGCACCCACACGTGCGTGGTGGACCAGACRGGCAGCGCCCACTGCGTGATGTGCCGGACAGCCCCCTGCCCTGARCCCACCAGCCTGGACCGTGCCCTCTGCGGCAACAACAACGTCACCTACCCCTCTGCGTGCCACCTGCGGCGGGCCACYTGCCACCGCGGCCGCTCCATCGGCGTGCGCCACTACGGGAGCTGCTCAGGTGAGCTGGGCAGGGCAGGGGACAACGGGCACAGACCCCCAGCACCTGTCAGCCCCTCACACCCCCCTCTCTTTCCAGCTGTGTCCAAATTCTCCGCGGAGACGGACAGCGTGGAGGAGAACTACGTGTGAATCGTCCCTCGGCCGAGCCGCAGCCGGGAGACAGGGGCATTATGTGTATATTGTACAAACCATATACCTGATATTTATTAAGATGAAAAAAAAAAAAAGATCCTTATTTATCCCTGTGTATGTTAAGCAGTCGCAGGGGGCTCGATTCCCATCCTGCCGGCCAGGGAGCAGGGGAGGGGGCTGGARCAAAGCCGAGCTGCTCTGGGATGCTCCGGTGCCCAGCAGAGCTCTCCGCTGCCCRGTGCCCGTCCTTGCTGCCGTGGAGGGGTGTCCGTGGGCCCCCCCCAYGTGTCCTTGGCCGGCAGCCCTGGGCCTATTTATTTTTGGATTAATTCTCGGTACTCTGCTGACGTTTCTGGCCAGGACCTCGAGGTCTAGAGGGAATCTGCACTTTCGCCTTCCCCGAGGGGCTCGGCCCCAGCTGCCAGCGGCGGGAAAGGCGGTGCACGCTGCATCAGATTGGACAGAGATAGATATATATTTTTATATATATATATTAAAAAAAATATATATATGTACCTTATTGTCTCCTAAAGCTTCAGCATGTGTGTGCTCTAACGGATTTCAGCTTAGGTTCTCCCAGGCCCRTTCAGACCAGGCTCCCACCATCTTCGGAGGTGACGCCGGTGCTCGGAGGGCTGGAGCAGTGGCAGCCCTGGCTGGGGGACACGATTGTCCCCCTACACAGAGCCCATCACCCGGGGCAACTGCTCCCCAGCCCTTCTGATCCCTGCCTGCCAGAACAGCTTTGGGTGCAGCCCGGGCTGCGGGGGGAGCTGGCCCTGCCGAGCCCCCCAGGACCCCTCACYGCGGCTGCGTGGCCCTGCACCCCCTGCTCTGCCCACACCTGTATTTATTTTTACTCCTTCTCTCATTTCTTGTGTTGTCACCTGTGTAAATACCAGCTCAGCTCTGACACCAAAAAGCTCTTGACTTTATATAAATATCATATATGTATTATATATAAAAATACCTTATTTTCTATTTTTGTATGATTGGGTTCTGACCCCCGAGGTAGACGCTTTGGGAACATCCACATTCCCTATTCCATATTGTTGGGGCATTTTACGGCTGTGTTATGATTTGGATTATAATTAAAAACCAGAATAAACAGCGGTGCGTGTCCCGTTTTKTTGGGTGGGAAACGTTTTTCTCCTCGGGGCTGTGCATCCACAGCAGGGCTGGGGATGTGGGGAGCCCCCCGCAGCCATGAGGAGCCGCATTCCCTCTGTTCCAGCTCCGTCCTGGAGTTTTCCATCCCAGCCGAGCGCTGCTCTGTGCGGTGGGAGGGAAGGGGAGAGCGGGGAAGAGCAGCCCGCGACGCAGATAAATCTGTTCCCAATCTCGGGCCGTGCCATAAGGGTTTGGTATTTCACAAAAAACAATTCCTGCCGGTAATTGGGTCCCGATGTGCGATGTTTCCCGGGCAGCAGCCTGCGGCTCGGCGCGCTGAGCTCCACGGGAACTGCTGCCGGATCCCCCTGGACCGCATCCCCTGCAGCCCCGGACTCCCGGCCGAGCCCCTCAAAGCCACGACCAGTCGGGGAGAGCATCACAGAGCATCACAGAGAATCACCGAACCGTTCCGGTTGGAAAAGACACCTCGGATAACCCAGGGCGTGCACGGGGGGTTGTCCTACAGCCCTTCTCTGCTCGCCCAGCTCGGCGATGTCCCCCTGCTTTTGGGGATGGGCGTGCAGGAGTTGCCAAAACACTTCCCGTGCCTTTCCAGGTGCCACCACGCGCGGTGGTGTGTGGCCCGGGTTCTTCCTGCCCACGGCAGCTGCCGGTGCTGCCCGCCCCGCCGCAGGGTTCGGGTGGCTCGGTGCCGAGCCCGCGGGCACGGGCTGCGGCGGCAACGGCAGCTCCTGTGATGAGCGGGAGATTTCAGCTCCCAAAACACGGCTGTGAGTCAGGCGCCGCCTTCCCACCGGTTTTTGGGTGGTCTGGGACAAGCCGGGACAGGCGGCGGCTCTCCAGGCTCCCCGCCAGCGCGGATGCCCTCGGGCTGGCAATCCCGTCCCGAAATTGCAGGGGGTCTCTGCCCCACGCTGTCACTGCCACCACCCCACTGGGATTTGGGGCTTCTTTGGAGGCTGGCAGCCTGGCGGGGCTCTGCCCTCCTCTGGATGTCCCCAAGGCCACCGATGCTCGCGGCTTAGCATCTCCTGACCCCGCGCAAAGCCCTTGCAGCAGCCACGGCGTGCCAGCAATTTGCAGATAAAACAAACAGCCAGGAGCGGGGAATGTCTGGGTCTGTCCCCGGAGACACCGGGCGGGCAGGGCCACGCGTGTCTCGGCCGAGACCCAGCAGCAGCTCGGCACACGTCTGCCGGCCACTGCGGGCACCGGGCTGCGAGCGGGGGAGGCGGGTGAGGCTCCATCCCTTGTGGGCTCCGCCAGAGCAGCTGCGAGCCCGCCTGCCCTCGGGGGGTGTCTGTGGTTCCCCTCTTTGGGGGGTCACGTCGAGCGGAGGGGAGGGTGCGGTGTGGGACGGGATGGAACAGGATGAGGCGGGATGGGATGGGATGGGATCGGGAGCCACACCCCGGCGGGACGGCAGCTGGGGATGCTTTCTGGGGTGGCAGCACCTGGATGAGGATCCCGGCTCCCCTGGGGTAGGGCCTGGTCCCGGGCGGGGGCTGCACTCCCCTGGTTCCTCCTGTACCCTCTGCTCCTTCCACCCAAGCCCAGGACGAGTCGGGGGGACCAAAACACGGAGGGCGAGCAGTGGGATGGGGACTGAGGGTTTATTGAGGAAGGTAAACCTTGCCACTGTGAGAGGATGCACGAGRGGCTTCTGGTACAGCCGAGGGGGTACAAAATACCCCTCACCAATGGGCAGAGGTGAATCCTGCCCTGACCTGGGTAAAGGAACCCACGGGCATCAGCTCAGAGCTGGAGGAAGTGGGAGTTCTGGCCTTCTTCTCCCCTCCCGAGGGACATCTCAGCCCCTCCTGCCCCAGAACTCCTTTTCACCACGCTAGGGCTCTGGCCGCCCCTTGCGGTGGCGGGACCCTCGCACGATGTGATGCACCCACTCAATGTAGTTGGAGATTTTGGTGTAGATATCGGGGAACCGGCGGTCCCCACATCTCTGCCCAGAGAAGGAGACGATGCCATAAACCTTTCCCTTGAGCACCAGGGGTCCCCCGGAGTCGCCCTGTAAAAAGAGGCGGTCAGAGGGAGATCTGAGGGTCTCCCGGGGGGGACAGCACGGGGGCCAGGAGGGCACTCACAGCGCAGACACCCTGCAGCGTGGCGTTGCGGCTGGCCCCGCACAGCATGTTGGCCGAGACTTTGCCCCTCCACAGCGTCCGGCACAGGCTCCGCTTGACGATGGTGGTGTTGGTCTCCATCAGCTCGGCCGGCTGGTCTTCGAAGTTGGAGATGTCCCCCCAGCCCATCACGGAGCACACAGTGCCGGGCTTCAGGTCGGTGCGCGGCCGGGGCAGGCGGATCCGCTTCACGTACTCGTTCAGCGTGGCCGACCTGTTCAGCTGGGTGGGCAGCCGGGGCKTGGGCGGCTTTGCTGCTGGGGCAGAGCCCCTGCCCGGCTCCCCCCAGCTCGCCAGAGCCCGTCCGTCCCATCTCCCAGTTCCTGCTGACCCCCCAGCCCTGCTCTTCCCTCTGCAGATGCTGCGTCCTGCCCTGTCAGCCCCTCCGCACTGGTCCCAGTCCTCTGTAGGGACTGGGAGCCGGCTGAGTGCTCGGAGCCGCTGACCCGGAGCGGGTCGGTGCGTCCTCAGTGCCTCCATCACACCCCACGGMGCGGTCCTGCTTCTCCGGAGAAGCACTGACATCTAGTGTCGGCTCGGCCCCTCGTGGGGCACCCCATCTCCTCCCGGTACCCCGGGGCCGGTCACCCCATCTCCACCTGTGCCCCGGGGCGGTGGAACACCGCATTTCCTTCCGGTACCCCGGTTCCGTGGGACCATCCATCTCCTCTCGATGCCCTGGGTCATGGGGCACCCCATTTCCTCTTGGTGGTATAGGACACCCCATCTCCTCCCGGTACCCCAGGGCTGTGGGACACCTCACCTTTCTCCCACTACCCCAGGGCCGTGGGACACCCCATTTCCTTCCGGTACCCCGGTTCCACCCATCTCCTGTCGATGCCCTGGGGTCATGGGGCACCCCATCTCCTTCTGGTACACCAGGGCCGTGGGGCAATTTCCTCCCGGTGTAATGGGACACCCCATCTCCCGGTGTGATGGGACACCCCATTTCCTCCCAGAGCCCCAGGACTGTGGGACCCCCCACCTCCTTCTCGCATCCCATGTCTGTGGGGCACCCCATTTTTTCCCGGTACCCCTGAGCGGTGGGACACCTTACCTCCCTCCCAGTAACCCAGGGCCGTGGGACACCCCATTTCTTCCCTGTGCAATGGGACATCCCATCTCCTCCAGGTACCCTGGGGCCGTGGGACCCCCCCCCCCCCCCCCCCCCCCCAGGGCCATGCAACACCCCATTTCCTCCCAG